CAGGCTTTATTCGTACTTGTTGCACTTCATATTTCGCGACTGGATCGCGCACCCGCGCTGCACCGACAATAGTAGAACCACTGCAGCTACAAACCGCATTCAAAGTGGAACACCCCCCATTGTTCAAGTAGACCATTACTTCCATTGAGACCTAGTGAATGATTCAATCATAGATCCCGGAGTGGAGACGGTCTTTAGGGCCACACGATGTCGCGTGCGCGGCATTCTGCAAACAGCGCGGGCTCTTGATGGAGCGCACACTCGGGATAAACTACAATAACGATTATTCAGTAGGGCGCAAGTGGCTCACAAAAGAATTTAGGCGTGAGGTTCAGTGCATTGCAATAGTCGACCACGGACTCGCACCATATTCGACGCGCGTTACCTGAAGGAGCGGTCGTAGCCGATTTGCCGACATATGCCTTGCGCTGCTGTAACAGAAGCGTGAACTATTTCAGGTATAATGCACTGCAGGAAGTCGAACTAAACTATTGTTGGAAAAAAAGCAGACCTTTTTCGTCAAAAAATTGTTATTGAGCTGAGAGGAAGAATGACAGTTTTCGTTCTGTTCCGAAACTAAGGTTTCCATGATTTTTTTCCTATGCTATAGTCTAATCCTATTCCACTGGTAATCAGAGCACCAATCGTCCTGGTAACCAGAAGTTCGAATGCGTGAAGTTGAAATCAGGCTCAACTATTGTTGCTGGAAACGCGAAAACCATTAAATGGCACTATTCAACTATTACTACCCCAAAAAGTCCATAGAGATAGTTCGGTGTCCCAATCACGAATATAGCACTCGTTTTGGGCGCTGGCGTTGAATTGGCGCCAGTTTGGCGCCGCCACCTTTCCCAGCAAATTGTAAATTTGCATGGTATGGTTATTTGATGTCCTGATCACGATTACCGAATTAGTTTTCCTCCCTGACGCCATTGGCGCTGACTTGGAGCCACACCCTTTTTCATCAAAATTGATAAAAACGTGCACAATGGGGTTGTTTGATGCCCTGATCACGAATATGACATTCACTCCAGCACCATTTAACCACTTTTCTAAGGCTGAGCCTGTGAGAAAGAGTGTTTTCCTTTAGGTCAGGCCAGCAATACCAGAGCGCAGATAATCACAGCGTCTTCCATCAGCGCCAGCGCCAAAAATGAATGTGATATATGCAATCAAGATGTTAAATGGTCTTCGTATACAAGTTTTCAGCGGATTTAGTAACCTAGGTTACTTCAGCGCCAGCGCCAAAATACCCTAGGTCAGGCCAAGTGGGTGCGATGTTCAAGTTCAGGAGGTCGAATTACCTCTAGAACCCAACTTTCATCCAAATCTGCCCACGTAGAGAATAACTGATTAAGATCCGGCCTGTTCTTGGAAAACTGGGTTTGTTTTCCAGGTAGAGCGCGTCAAATATGGTGTGAGTCCGCAGCCGACTATCGCAATGCATTCAACCTCACGCCTAAATTCTTTTGTGAGCCACTTGCGCCCTACTGAAAAATCGTTATTGTAGATAAACTCAGCGCGCGATTGAACTAGGTTTTGTTTTCTGCAGTTTTCTGCCCACTCTTCGCTCTGGATTCTCATGATCGTTAGTTTTTGCTTTATTGCACAACTAGCAATTACATGGCAATTATGGTGTAAAAGAAACCTCAAATAGGCTCGCGGGTTAGCTTAGCTCATTAGCTGATACCTGATCATTTGATTGTCGCAATGCCTCGTGGACAGCTTACTCTCATAGACTGTACTTATTGCCATTTTGTCGAGGTACAAATTACTGTCCTTTTGAAAAAATAGCGAAATGTCACTGTCGCGATAGCAAAACCATCGCGAGCGCGCTTCATCGCAAACCATACAGTGCGTGCAATTATCGCGCGCGACGCCGTGTTGTTCTACCGTCACATACTCTCAGAGCGCGTTCAAACTTCGCGATCGTGCGATTGGATCGCGCGATCGATCGCTCGACTAGGATCGCGCGATCGGATCGCTCGACTAGGATCGCGCGATCCAAGAGCGCTATTGGGATGGGTGAAATTCAGCGGGGAGGGGGGGGCGTTCATGTTTCACGGATATCGCCGAAGTCGTCGTCCAAAGAGTTCCTCTGTTTGAAATAGTCTTTTTCAGAGTTGTTCGCATCACATGTTAGTATAGCTGTTTTACTGAATGAGTGCTATATTATTAGAATAATCAAACAATATTTATTCAAATATTCTAGAGATTTGTTCCAAACATTAATGGTATAGTATGAAGTTCGTTGACGCATGTAATATGATATTTTCCGTTCTAAGGAAACTGGGTCATGGGAAAACCGGGCGAGTTCCGTTAAATCATCAGTGATGCATGTTGTTGCTGTTATCGATCGCCCCTCAAGGAATTGTCTTTCAAAAAACGACGACTTCGGCGATATCCGTGAAACATGAACGCCCCCCCCCCCCGCTGAATTTCACCCATCCCAATGGCGCTCTTGGACCGCGCGATCCTAGTCGAGCGATCCGATCGCACGATCGCGAATTCTGAACGCGCTCTCACCAAAGCAACAATAGTTGAGCCTCTGCGGCTGCAAACTTCACATCACATTCTGACTGGAACTTCTTTCGACCGTTCAAATGCGTTGATAGTCCCATTAATTCAGTCATAGCCCTCGGCGCAGTGAACGACTGTAACAAATGCGCTCCACCGCTGATCGGTGGACCGAGAGTCAGTTGAATTACTTGCGGAATAAAAAATATTTTTTGATGTTTGATTGTTGGGACAACAGTGACGTGTTTTAAGCAGAAGTGGGAAATAAGAACTTGATGCTAACACCTTGCGAAACGAACCTTGATATAATGTTTACATTCACGTTGTTATTAATAATGCGTGTCATGGCTAGATGAAATGAGAAAGGTCCTACTGAGGTGTGACTTTTGTCCATATCTAAGCGTTCTTATGATAAGGAAGATTATTTTCCATTTTGGGAGATGTGCATGAGAAAAGGAAATGTTCAAAAGTTCTTTTTTGTTCTTTTATTCTAGTAATTGAACCATCAGTTGTAGCCGACCATCAAATAGTGCTGAGAACAATATCGAATTGATGGTCGCATCTGAGTTCTAACCGGAGCGTGATGCATGGCGCATCCCGAAAAGCGCTTAACAGGCGATAAGAGCTCTTTCCCATTTCTGAGTTGTCGAAGAGACCGCAGAACGCAGAATGTGGACAGGATTTTTCCTAAGATACTATTGCGTCATGGCCCGTGGGTTTCACATAGTGCGGCGTAAGCTGAATTATTACGCCTTTAATCCTCTTCTGCAGACTTCTTGATTTCTTGGTGGTCCTTCTGGAACTGTACAGTAGCCACCTTAAAAGTTGTGTGGACTCTGCAGTAATGTCTCTTTGACGCATTGTAACATTTTTGAGGATGTTCTGGTTGTTTCCTCTCCTGTTGAGATACTCTTTTGTGCTATCTTCCTGTACACTGTTGTTCTCGCAGAGTCGTCTATATTCTGAATGTTATACGTTACAGTTACACGAATGATTTTCATTCAGGAACATGCTAAACATCTGGAGATATAACAGTCGAATAGCTCTCAATTTATGTTGCCGAAACCTTCGCCCCTCTGAAATATGTTTGAGCAGTCCTCTTCATCCAGGAAAACTACAGCGTTTCGCAGTAAGGCAGGATATTGCTTGTGTGCATACCAGTCCATGCCTATTTGATCAGAACACGGTAAGAAAGGCACAAAATTTCCTCAATCTCGTACAAGGTTTGACATTCAGAAGAAGAATCGATGGCCATTTCATGTTACGATGACTGATGAGCAGAAACAAAAGAAGCAGGAATTGATTGCAGTAATGAAAGAGGTACGTTTTTTATTAGGTCGTTGCAAAAGAAATGCAGGATTTTGTTTTTTTTGTATTTAATACTTATTTTATTCCAATAAAATGTAAGTGTTATATATCATTCGAAAGCTTATCTAATGCTCTTTCTAAATGATACTTCAAGATTGGTTGTAATTCTTTTTAGAGGCCAAAATCGTTGAAGGCGTTTTTGACATCGTCTTGGTTTTTGAAGCCTTTCTCTCTAAGATAGTTGTCCAGATGCTTGAAAAAGTGGTAATCGGTGGGCGACAGGTCTGGTGAGTATGGTGGATGAGGCAGAGTTTCATAGCCCAATTCGTTTAACTTCTGGAGGGTCGATTGTGCGACGTGTGGTCGGGCATTGTCGTGGAGAAGAATAGGTCCCTTTCATATTGACCAACCTTGGGCACATGCGTTGAAGCTTCTGATGCATTTCGTCGATTTGTTGACAGTACTTCTCTAATTGTTTCACCAGGATTCAGGAAGCTGTGATGGATGAGACCGGCGGCAGACCACCAAACATGAGGTTCATCTTCAAGGCTGGTGTTGCCAGAACGAAACTTCTGGAACCAACGTTGGACCGTACATTCGTTGACACTTCCTTGACCCCAAACTTCGTTAATGTTTCGAGCTGTCTCGCAGCGTTTCGGCCTAGCTTGAACTCATAGAAAAAAATAGTGCGAAATTCACGTTTTGACATCTGCAATAAAACGTCAATAAAAATGATAATAAAAAGAATTACAACCAATCTTGAAGTATCATTTAGAAAGAGCATTAGATAAGCTTTCGAATAATATATAACACTTCATATTAAAGTAACATTTTATTGAATAAGTCGCCTAAGCCGGGCTGACAGCGGCGCGGCTCCTTCTGATAGCGCCGCGGCTTGCGCCGCGTGTGGGCGGCCCGGGCGCGGCGCTTCGCCGCGCGTACCTTCTCTCACATATTTCTAGACTCAACTGATATCCGCCTTTTGTTCTGTACTCTACTTTTCTCCGGTGTCTGAAGTACTCTTGAGCTGTTTTACAAATTCTTCGTCTGACTCCGCCCACCTCAGAGCAGACCCGCCCTCAATTTTTGTGCCCCGCACTCTTCACAGGCGACCCCCTGCTGACCTTAATCCACTTTTTTCCGGTGTCTGATGTGTTCTGGAACCGTTCTGCAGAGTTTTTGTCTGGCTCCGCCCACCTCGAAACAGGCTCCGCCCCAATTTTTGTGCCCCACAATCCTCATTGGCGACCCTCTGCTGACCTTGATCCACTTTTTTTCCGGTCTTCGGAGTGCTCCATGGAAGTTTGGAGTAGAATTTTTGTTTGGCTCCGCCCAACTCGGGCTGGCCCCGCCCACAACATGTATACCCCATATTTCTTAATCGGCGACCCCTTGCTGACTTGAATTCACTTTATTCCGGTCTTCGGAGTGCTCTGGAACCGTTTTACAGACCCTTTTTGTCTGGCTCCGCCCACCTCGGGCTGGCCCCGCCCACAATATGTATACCCCACATTTCTCAATCGGCGACCCTCTGCTGACCTTAATCCACTTTTTTCCCGTGTCTAAAGTGCTCTGGAACCGTTTTACAGACCCTTTTGTCTGGCTCCGCCCACCTCGAAGCAGGCTCCGCCCACAACGTTTTTGCCCCACGGTCCTCACCTTCGACCCTCTGCTGACCTTAATCCACTTTTTTTTTCGGTCTTCGGAGTGCTCTGGAGAGAGTTTTTGGAGATATTTTTGTTTGGCTCGCCCAACTCCTGGCTGACCCCGCCCACAAAACATGTATCCCCACATTTCTTATCGCGACCCTTGCTGACATTGAATTGCAGCTTTATTCCGGTCTTCGGAGTGCTCTGGAACCGTTTTACAGACCCTTTTGTCTGGCTCCGCCCACCTCGAAGCAGGCTCCGCCCACAACGTTTTTGCCCCACGGTCCTCACCTTCGACCCTCTGCTGACCTTAATCCACTTTTTTCCGGTCTTCGGAGTGCTCTGGAACCGTTTTACAGACCTTTTTGTCTGGCTCCGCCCACCTCGGAGCAGGCTCCGCCCACAATGTTTTTGCCCCACAGTCCTCACCGGCGAACCTTTGCCGACCTTGACGCACGTTTTTCCGGTCTTTGCAGTGCTCTGGAACCGAGCTACAAACTTTTAAAGTGAGTATCCTGCGGTTTAGGGCAAGCTCCGCCCACTGTGGGCGGATCTCAACACACTTTGGGCATGCCCAATACTCGCCAGATATTTACATTCTGCACTGAGCTTTTTGCGGCTTCTGAACACTCTCGCGAACCGAGTTACTGAGTTTTATGCGAAGCACCGCCCACCTTGAGTACGCCCCGCCCATTTTGGATGTGTCTGCCACAGTTAGTCTGGCGACTCCTTACTAACCTTACTCCCTTGTTTCACAGCCATCTTAGGCTGCTCCGGAAGCGAATTATGAACATTTTTCTGTGAAACCCAAAATTTCAGTGAGTGCCCCGCCCACAGTGGGCGGGGCTTCGCATAGGTCAAGTGTGCTTTTTACTTCTTGTCCCATGCTCTACCCATCCCCACCTTGACCCGACCTCTCCAAGTCGTTCTTCAGGTCGAACCGAATTTCCGGACAGACAAACTTACAAACAAACTTACAAACAAACTTACAAACAAACAAGACGTCGGAAGCGAATTATATATATGTGGTGAAATATAAGTATTAAATGAGCAAAGAAACAAATCCTGGCAATTTCTTTTGCAACGACCTAACTATTATATTACGATTCTGCAGCCAGAGCAGAACTGACACCTGTGGCTTTCCTACTTGTATCATAGTAGTCTCTTGAGGTTTTTTTTTCATTAGTACTGTGATCGCGCGGCATTTTTGTCGATCCTTATGGTTGGCCATTAGTGCCTAAATAGTTGCACGGTATTTTTTTTTCGATCCCAATGGCCTTTAATGCCCAAATAGTTGCGCGGCATCCTTCTCGATCCTAAGAGTTGGTCTTTAACCCCCAAGACGAGTTTAGGAGGTTTTGAGCGAGAGACGCGACAGCGCGTACTATGCCCCTCTCGTCCTGCTAAGAAATCTATTTAGTCCATTAGCCCCCTGCGACCTGCGTGATCGGCAAAAAACATGATAAGTATAGGGAGAGAAACGAGTGGTAAGTCAGGCGCCATCGCGAGACGAATAGACTACGTTCATACTTTATGTCAGCGTTCGCCAGCGTACCGACAAGGAAACTATAGATATTGGTCTAATGCCAGCGTATGCCAGCACACGCCAGTGTTGTCGCGGGCAATCTGAGCTTCGAGCTGGAACTGCACCGAAAAACCGCTGCCTGTAGTTGGAATGCGCTACCATCGACTTATCTATGCTTCAGTGGCTCGAAACGCTGCTGTACGCTGACGAAAAGTATGAACGCAGGCGCGCCTAGGGCCAACCGGCGAAGCGAGCGGGCGCAACGGCAGCCCACCCTCCTCCCATTCACCTTGGCAGAGTCAGCGAAATCGGTAGGTATCCAGTCTTGTTCGAGATGGCGGTGGATTCGCCCGCTCGTTCGCCGATTCTTTATCAACACTTACCAGAACTTTTTCGTAGATCTCGTCGAATGCTTTAAAGACAGCGCCCGCGATGGACTTTGGCAGGTTTCAGGGGTCACATTTGCTAGAACAGGTGGCCAATGAAGCACTAATCAAAAAAAGCAGGAAAAAGGTGTGGAAGAGCGTGAAATAAGACCCTATGAAATTTAAGGCATGTGGACGAGTTTCGCAAACTTCTGGTGAGTTCTCCAATACACGTCGCCGCCTCGGAACTCTAGAAATTCAGCGTATATCAATGCCAGCAAGCATTGATAACTGTCAACCAGTCGGGGCGGGATTAACAGGACAGGAGGCGTCAGCCCGGCTCTGTTGACTCCGCCCTCGTCAACCAATCGATTTCGAGCCGCAAGAGTGGGATTTCTGCTGTGATTGCGGACTCCGCGTTCGTTTTCAATGGAGGGTTTTTCACTTTGGTTGATCGCGGACGCTGCCTTTAAGGTCGCGAGCTGCGAACAACGCCTGAGGCTTAGCAAACCACTGGCGACAGGGGTCGCCTTTACTTTTACGCCTTCGTTCTTCTTTAACGTTTAGTCCTTTCGAGAAATCGAGAACCGCCATATGCAGTGATTCTATTTCCAGGAGAAGGAACCAGATACGTTGTTTGGCAAGATAAAGTATTACATCAAGCGCTACTGGTATATCGCAGTACCCGCACATATGGTTGGTAGTACAGCATGGTTTGGAGGACTTTACGCCTTGGTGCATTGGTGAGCATTTTTGTTGTTCCAGATAAATGGGCACTATTGCATTGTCCAAATGTAAAATTTCCTGCTAAGCCTCATTATGAAGCATTCTCAGTGACTTTATAACCAAATTGCCATTCATTTACACTCGTTGGCCGGGTCACAAGGATGTCACAATGTCATATTCTTGTCACCAAATAACCCCCATTGATGAAGTGTCAGCAATTAAATATTCAAAAACTATTTCAACGGTCGTAATAGTGGAATAGTGTCAAAAACTTCTGCAGTATTTTTTTCTCTGATTTGAGAGAATTATTTGGTTTTTTTTCAAGCGGTGTAGATGTCATTGCTCTTCTTCGTACGTTGCATATGCCAGACGTCGTTATTGAGAAAATCGAGAATGTTCCTCCCAGTGCAGGCGTTCTTGTTGTGGCTCTGATTTTGTACAAGGTATGATGTCCAAATAGTTAATGTTCTATTTGATTTTAAAGTTTTTCTTGGTTCTATTTTGTAAGCAGAAAAGTAAAGTAGCAAAGCGGAGACTGACTATCATCAGGCTTTATCTGTCACTATCAAAACCTGTCGGCCACCATCAATGCCTTTATAGATGTGACGCGTGATATGAATTTCGTGACGCTTCCTTTTTAATGCCCCTTATCAGCTCTTATCGACTGATATCACTTCTTGTCACCCATAAATGAATATCCCTGTCGTACCACCTATAACTTCCGGAAACCACGTTACCACTTTGTTGTCGGGTGTTTGTTTCAATTCAGTGGGGCTCCCTTTGTAACGCCCCCTATCAGCTTTTATCAGTTGTTATCATTTATTCCCACCAGTAATGTTCCAGTCGCACTCCCATATCTGGTTGAATTCTTTGTGGCAAAATCGAAGTAAGTTATGTATCTACACACACACACACACACACACACACACACACACACACACACACACACACACAC